TCTCAAAAAGACGAAATTATAGAGATGGAAGAGAGATTCATGGTTTCTGGGGTTAGTCATGGTGGAGGGCAGTAGAGTGTAACTATAAAGGGGGGGCTCAAGAGAGACTCATCTCGCAATGGAGTAATTCTGCATCTTGATCATGGTGGTGATCACACAAATGTATATACATGTGACAAAATGGCAGAATGATATACCCACATTATACTAATGTCAAATTACTGGTTTTGATCTTGAACTACATTGTGTAAGCTGTCATCGTTGGGGGAAACAGAATTACAGAAACATGGATGCCCCTCAGGAATGTCCTCGTGACTTCCTATGAATCTCTATTTCAGAGCAAGAAGTAGTAAATTAAATTTAAAAATAAGTGAAGTATAATTCCACTTTAATAATATATAAAAACTGGCAATGGTGTTAGAAGTCAGGATAGTGGTTATTCCAGGTAGGACAGTGACCGGAAGGGGGCAGAAAGGGGACTTCTGGGAACAGATAATCTTGCGTCCCTGGTCCGAGTGTCCATCACACGAATGTGTTCCCTTTGTAAGAGTTCATGAAACTGAACACACAATGTGTGTTCTTTTCTGTAGAGTTGTTATATGCCAATAAAAGTAATGAATGAAGTGAAAACATGTGGTTTCACATGGGATTACCCCTGTGTTGATATGGATGAACACATTCTAGAAGGCTATGTAAGAGCAGTTTCCTTTGCAAAAGGGCGTTAGGAAGGAGAGGCATGGAGCGAGGCCTCCTTTTTATATTATACTTTTCTATGCTGTTTGAATGAAAATAAATACATGCTATGGAGCCTCTGGGCTGTCTCTAGCCAGGTGCCAGCCTGACCCTTCCTGCCCTCTGGTTCCTCTTGGCCTCTGGGTTAGTTCTTTGTGGCATCACCACTTTGTGAGGATGGGGCTTTTAAGCCTCTTATCCACTAGAGTCTAGACAACTGTTGGTTGTTTGTGGTGAATCATTTAATCAATCCCTGTGGCTTTTCTCCCTAATGCAAGTGCTTTCCTGGAATGGCAGGCCTAGGGGGCCCCACCCTGGGCAGATTGGCAGGCCAGTGGGTTTTTCTTTTCTGGTCATATTGAATGCATACCTCACATGGCCAGCTCATTCACTCCACTTACACAACCCGGGCCTCCCTCCAAGTCCCACATTTCCTGGGAAGTCTTGGACAGAATGGAGCCTAGGCTTCGGTTAGACAGACCCCAGTTCAAATCCTGGATAGTTCTGCAGACTGTAAACTCCCTCCCTCCCATCCCTCCTCACCCACAAGATGGAAACACAGTGTGAAAATAAATAAAGGAAACCTCATTTAAAATGGGAGTCTGAAAAAAAATAAAAATTTTTAAAAGTAAAATAAATAAATAAATAAATAAATAAATAGATAGATAGATAGGAGTCTGGAAGCCCAGCAGGGCAAGTTCTCATGCATTACCACTCACCTTAAGAAGCAAACTTTGCATTCCCCAGGGAGGAGAAGCTTACTTTCCATACCCCAGCAGGAGGAAGGAAGAATTTTTCCTTGCCCAGCAACAGCCCAGCCAATGGGAACTCAGGAAAACACCCTCCCAGCTTCCTCCTTTCCCTTACAAAAGCAAGCCCCTCCCTTCTGTTCTCCAGACTTGCCTATGGTTCACCCTAGTTTCCTTGCCCTGAATTGCAGTTCCTCTGCTGTTCCCAAATAAACTCACTTTGCAGGTAAAATAACTGGCTCTTCTCTTTTTTTTAAATCAATAACAGATACAGTCCTCTTAAGACTGTTATCAGGGTGAAGTGTGACCATGTAAATAAAATGTGCCATGCAGCATTTGGCACATGATAAGAGCTTAATATATCAGTTCTCATCCCTGGGATCGTGTTGTCCCATCCCTGCCCATCTCACCTGAAAGTGACTCCTAATACACCTGTATTAGGAGTAAAATATGCTTGCTTGTGGCTGTTTGATGCAGATTCCAGACTCACCTGTAAACTCATGAAGGTCACAGACTGCCCCTGGCATCCTCACACAGTAGGTTCTCAGTAAATGCCAACGCTGGCACAGGTCGCCTCATTCTAACGTGGATCGATTCTGCATCTGCCTCCTTGAACCCTGCGGATGCCCAAGTCCATCGGAAATAGCCAAGTTTCAGGAGGACTTAAAGTTTCAGTAATGCAGTCAAACTCTGTACATGCCAACCCAGCATTCTTTTTGCAGACCTAGTGAGCCCATGAAAAGTCAGGCCCATTTGTACAGTCCTCAAGACTTTTCTAGCTGTGTGATCTTGGGCAAGTCACGACACCTCTCTGAACCTCCATGTTCTTTGTCCACATATTAATATACTGCTTCAGATGGGGATACTCACGTGATCTCCATCCTCATGAAGCTCAGGGCAAAGAGCAGTGCTGTCCCAAAGAAATAGAATGGGAGCCACATCTGTATCGAATGGTCTAGCAGTCACATTCAAAAAGTAAACAGAAACAGATGAAATATTAGTATATTTGATCTGAATATACTAAAGATCATTTCAACGTGTGAGCCATATACAAATGATTGACAAGATAGTTGACAGCTTTGCAGTAAGTTTTTGAAATTGCGTGTCATTTGACACTTCCAGCCCCTCTCACTTTGCATGGGCCTCATTTTAAGTCCTGGACAGCCGCACGTGGTGCCAGCTCCAGGCTCGCCCGTGGACTTGGTGAAGCATGTCCAGTTGATTCTCTTGGCCATTCCTAACAGCACCCATCTCACTGAAGTCCTGTCCCTGCTCTGTGTTAACCAGGGCCAGCTTCTGAGCATCTCGGCGGCCTATGGCGATCTGGAGACCGTCCGGTACCTTCTCACCGAGAGACGGGTGGAGCTGCCCACCGAGCCCACCGACGACAATCCAGCTGTGGTGGCAGCACATTTTGGGCACACTGACGTTGTGCAGGAGTTGCTCGAGTCTTTGCCAGGTAAATCCCAGGGCGTGAGCTCCTTGCCCACCTCTCAGGAATCACCTCTTCTTGGGAATCAGACAGATGTTTGTGGGAGGAGGAGGGGGTGGCTTTCCCTCAAAATGCTTGTTTCTTTACACTCTCACCAAGCGGGAGAACCAGAAATCTGGGCCATCAAACTGACAATCGAGCCACATCCCACGTCTCATTCCCTTGAGTTCAGTAGGTAAATTCTTTCATACCCTACTTGATAAAGAATATGGATCTATGTCCTTTTTTTAAAAAAATTAATAGATTTTATCCTTAAAGCAGTTATAGATTTTCAGAAATGTTGATGTGGAAGTACAGAGAGCCCCCATATACCTCCCCGCCAAAAAGTTCCCCCATTATTTACATTCTGTATCGGTATCGTAGAGTTGTCACAAATGAGCAACCAATACTGAGACATCCGCACCAACCAAAGTCCAGAGTTTCCATTAGGGGTCCCTCTTTGTGTTTGTACATTCTATGGGTTTTGACAAATGTATAATATGTATCCACTGTTAGTGTATGATACCCAACAGTTTCACTGCCCTCAAAGTCCTCTGGGCTCCACTGAGTCATCCCTCCCTTCCCCTAGCGCCCCCCCCCCCCCCCGCCACCTGCAACCATGGATCTTTTTACTGTCTCTGTAGTTTTGACTTTTTTCAGAATGTCATATAATTGAGCTCATACATTTTGTTGTCTTTTTAGATTAACTTCCTTCCCCTGACGATATGCATTTAAAGTTCCTCCATGCCTTTTTATGGCTTGGTAGCTCATTTCTTCATAAGGCATTACCTTAGCAGTGGTCTTTGGGAGTTAGGATTTTATTTGAGCAAGGCCAGCTTCATTGCAACAGTGTGGGCCCTGCACTCAGAAGGCCCATGCTTGGTTCAACACTCCACTGTCGCCATCTTGAAATTTTTGATATTTTTTTTGAACAAGGGGCTCACCTTTGTATTTTGCATTGGGCCAGTAGCCGATTATGTAGCCATCCTGTCAGGGGGGTTGTCCAACAGTGTGCTTTGAGTAGATTTGTGCTCAGACTTGGTTCTAAGCCAGTGCTTTCTTCGTGTGTCTGGAAGGAGAATGAGGAGAGTAGAAATCAGGACCATGTTATGGTCCGCAGGTGTAGATTGGGTGCAGCCAGACATAGGAGGGCAAGGAGGAGCCTGGGTGCCCCTGAGGGCAGACTCCCTCTCTTCAGGGATCCCCAAGATTAGCTCTGTTGTAGCCCCAAAGTGTCTACACCAGCTGGCTCATGACCTAATTGGTGCAATTTACATTTATGGAGCATTCACCATATGAGTCTCTCACTAATGCCTTACCAGGCATTCTGCAGAACCTGAGAGACATGGAGACTTTTAAAAAGGTGATCCCAGATCTTGCATAGCTCCTGGTTAAGCAGAGAAATCAAAGCAGAAAGGAGTAATTCCGTGCAGTGTAACCATGCTGAGGTTGAAGTATTTACACAGTGAAGTATTTACACATAGAGAATGGTCTTGTCTGGTCTTCATAAGGAGCTGACATCTGAGCTGGGTTTTGCAGGGTGGATAGGAGTTTACTTGGCAGACAAGAGAGGAAAGGGCTTAGGTTGCCCGCTTTTGCAGAGCAGGGAGCTTGGCTGGACCTGAGCATGCTCTTGGGGCATCCTATCTTCAACTACACTCGGGACAGAGTTACTGAGGACCGAAGGAGTCCAGAGCATTGTTCTGGACTCTGCAGGAAGTGCAGAGATGGGCAAAACAATGTGTGTCCCTGTGAATTCCCAAACCGGAGGGAAGGCAGCCACTGTCAGGAGTCTGAGACCAGAAGACATATAAGACACAACTAGAGAACAAGGGAGGGTTTGAGAAGAGAGATGAGAAGCTCACAGGGGTAGGCACATCACTGTGTAGTTGTGGACGTCATTTAAGGTACATCATTATGTAAAGTCTGGTCTCTAGCTGAGCGGAGATGGAGCAAAGGAGGAAGAGGAAGGATGGAGACCCTAATGCTCTCGGAGTATCATTGGATTCGGGCCTCAGAAAATACATGTAGGGGTTTCATATGGTTAAGAGAGCACCCTTTGGTTTCGAGTGTCTAAATCCTTTAGCTTTGCAGTGTTTAAGTCTTGACTTTGTTATTTACCACCTGTGGAACCTTTGGCAAGTTCCCAAACCTCTCTGAGCTCTGATTTCTTCATATTAAAATCATGGCTATGAAATATAGCCTACTACAGCCTTATACATCCAACCTCAACAGAAGTTACAGCATGATGACTGGATTTCTCCTCTCTAGGTATTGTTGCAGTAAGCCAGTTGGGGATCACTTGTTAATATCTGTTTGAGCAACTCACAGGAGTTGTTAATTCTAGTAATCAGAGGGAGAAGAAGGGACATTTATTTAGCATCTGCTGCAGCCCAGGCACTGTGCCAGGCACCCTCTGTGCTGAATTTTCATTCCTTCCATCCCGACCTCACCCCTGTTTCCTAGTCAATTTCCTACCATGGAGGGGAGGGTCCCTCTCTCCATGCTTGGGAGCACTTTGGTTCCAAAGGACTCTCAGCCTCTGGAAATGAGACAATGTTATGATGCAATTTGGAAGTGTCAGCATGGAGGATGAGATCATTTTTCCATGGCTGCTACATCCAAAAGATGTTGCGTTACTTTGAACTTGAAGATACTGTAATACTTCAGCCCACATTGTCCCTGTTCCTTCAGTGTGCTAAGTGTTATTTCCTCCTGGAATTAAGTAAGTGGTTCTTGCAGGGAGTAATTTGCAAAGTTTTAAGCTGGATAGTTAGATCTATTTCTTTCATCAAAGCCTTTTTTCTTTCATTTTTGAAAGTAATATATGTACTCACAGATAATTTAGAAATGCAGAAAACTGTTAGTACTCTAAAAACAATGACAGATAATGAGTTAGAATATATTGAGCCAGGCACTTGACATACATTATGTCATGCAATCCTCAGATTAAACTTGGGAGGATGCGTGCCATTAGTCCCATTTTACCAATAGGTAAACTGAGTCAGGGAGAAGTTAAGAAATTTGTTTAAGATTACACTGTTAAAATATTTTAACCCTAAGCTGCTGGTCTCCAAAGGCCATGTCCCCGTATGTAATGCTACTCTGGGGATGAGGTCAGGGCTGGGGATGGGGAAAGGGATGAGGTGAATAGTCACAATCCCCACTACCCAGAGATAATATACTGCAACATGGGGTAGTACCTTTTAGTCTTATTTCCACATGTGCATTTTTTTTTTATCCAGTTACATTCGTACCATATATGCTGTTGTGAATGCTGCTTTTCCTCACTTGGCATTATGTGATGAGCAAGTGGGTTTATAATGATGTGGGCAAATGGCATACGCAGTCCAGAGGGACTATTCCAGAAAACACTACCAACTTGACAGAAGCGACTTGCGGCTGGAAATGGGGCAGTCTGAGGGAAGAGCAGAATGGGAACAACCAAAACCCTTGAGTGGCACCTTCCCTTTGTTCTGTCATCTCCTGCCAGGTCCCTGCAGCCCCCAGCGGCTGCTGAACTGGATGCTGGCTTTGGCTTGCCAGCGAGGGCACCTGGGGTTGGTGAAGCTCCTCGTCCTGACGCACGGGGCCGACCCGGAAAGCTACGCAGTCAGGAAGAACGAGTTTCCTGTCATCGTGCGCTTACCCCTGTACGCGGCCATCAAGTCAGGTGGGTACCTCCCCCCCCGTCAGGCCCACCCATGGGAACCCTCACAGGTTGGAGATGGGGGACCTTGTCTTCCCCCTCACCCCTAGCTCTTGAAGTGCTTGTGTGGAGACGCTTGCAAATTCTGTTACTTGTCTGTCTTTCAAAATGTCTGCCCCTTCCCTCATTGGCCCCACTGGCCCCTGCAAGGGGATTTCAGTGACAGGCAAACTGTGGCAAATGGGACCATAGTAGGAAGTGCTCCACAGGGCAGAGTCCCACAGAAAGTCACAAACAGGAATTTGCCACCTCAAGGGAAGTCATAGAGAAGGTCCACTGGCACAACTACCCTTTTCATTCCCGGTTTCACCTATTAGCATCTGCCATTTTGGACAGCTGTGACACACTCCGCATCTGAATGCCATTTTCTGTCCTTCAGGAAATGAAGACATCGCCATATTCCTGCTTCGGCATGGGGCTTTTTTCTGTTCCTACATCTTATTGGACAGTCCTGACCCCAGCAAACATCTCCTCAGGAAGTATTTCATTGAAGCTAGTGCCTTGTCCAGCAGTTGTCCAGGGAAAATGGTGAGTAGCCACTGTGTGTGGACGAATGGATAAAGAGCAGGTGGTACATATCTACAATGGAATATTTTTCAGTCACAAGAAAGAAAGACATCCTGCCATTTTCAACAACATGAGTAGACTTTGAGGGCATTGTGCTAAATGAAATAAATCAGACACAGAAAGACAAATACCATATGGTCACACTTCTATGTGGAATCAGAAAAAGCCAAACTCCTAGAAACAGCGAGTAGATGATTTGCCAGGGGCTGGAGGGGGCAGAAAATGGGGAGATGTTGGTCATAAGGTATGAATAAGTTCTGGAGACCTAATATACAGCTCTGTGATTATAGTTAATAATACTGTGCTATATACCTGAAAGTTGCCAAAAGAGTAAATCTCAAGTATTCTCACCACAGAAAAGAAATGGTAATTAGATGACATTATACAATGTTAGCTAACACTATGGTGGTGGTAATCATTTTGCAACATATAAGTGTATTGAATCAACAAGTTGTACACCTTCAACTTACCCAATATATATTTTAAGATTTTATTTATTTATTTGAGAGAGAGCGAAAGCAAGAGAGATCACAGAGGGAGAGGGAGAAGCAGACTTGCCGCTGAGCAGGGAGCCCGATGCGAGGCTCGATCCCAGCACCCTGGGATTGTGACCTGAGCCGAAGACAGATGCTTAACCAACTAAGGCACCCCCCAACTTACCCACTATTATATGTCAATTATATCTGAATAAAACTGGAAAAATATGCAGGATATAGTTTTAGTTAGTTTTCCATTTTAATAACAAAAAGAGTGTTGTGTTATTTACATCATCTTCAGCTAGGCTCTTTAAATTTAGCACTCTGTCATGGACTCCCTCTAGATCCGTCACTGTGGCTACAACTCATTCTTTAAATACATGCCTTAAATCTATAGAGGGAACATAGCTTAGTCCTTTTCCTGTTGGTGGACATTTGGATTATTTCTGGGTCTTGCCCTTTGTTATATAGCCTGGTTTTCTGGACTGTTTGCTTCTGTAGATCAAAGTTCCCAAAATGGATTGTTTGGGAATCACTTCCCCAAAAAGCTATGGTGATTCACACTTTCAGCCACATTATGTGAGAATCTCTCTTTCCCACACCTTGGCCAGCATTAGATATCCAGGAGCCTTTTAATTTTTATCAGTCTGTTGGATGGAAATGAGATCTCTTTCTTTTGATGTCCACACTATTATTATTAACAATATAGAGCATCTTGTCCTATCTTCATGAACAATTTGCATTTCCCCTCATGTGAGTTGCCTGTTTGTTGATTATTTTCCCGAAGGGTTGGTCATGTCTTCCTTCTCATTTTGGAGGGTCTTTTTGTATATCAGATTTTAAACCTTTTTTTATCATACATGTTCCAATATTTTCTCCAACCCCTTATTTTTCTTTGGTCTGCTATCTTTTGTGATAACAAAGATATAAGAATATGTAATCAAACATCTTTTTCGTTATGGCCTCTGGGTTATGTAAGAAGGTCATTTCCCCCTCAATTTTATAGAAATATTCTCCTCCTGGGGTATCTCACAATATTTTTTTCTTTTAGTTTTTACATTTTAAGCTTTAATTTTTCTGATATTTATTTGTATGGGAGGTATGAGGGAGAGAATCTAGCTTTCATCTTTTCTAGATGGATGATCAGTTATTCTAGTTTTTTTAAATAGAACTTCCTTTCCCTTCTGAATTGAAATGTCATCATGTTATTTTCCCCAGTATCTGTCTGTATGCATTTTGGGATTCTCTGTACTGGCCCACTGGCCTATTAATCTGTTTCTAGGTAAATGCCATACTGTTTTGAGAACAGACGTTTCATTTAAGTCTTACAGCCTATTAATGCATGTTTTCTACTTGTTTGGTTTCTTTCTTTGAAAATATCTTGACTGTTATTAGACATTTGTTCTTACTTTTATACTTTTCCCATGATGAGTCTATTTGTGCAGCTTCCATGTTCTTTTGTAAGATTTTGTATTTTATTTATCTTATATTATTTTTCATATTTTTAATGAGATTTTATCATTTTCTTCATAAAGAACCTACACCTGCCATGTTTATTTGTGTCTTCTTTCTTGTTTTTGCCGCTATGTGAATGGAATATGATTCTTTTCCATTTCTATTTCCAACCCAATGTTACTGGTATGGAGAAAAGCTCTTTTGTTTATTTACATTTTATCCAGTCCCTTTACCAGCTTCTCTTATTAATTTTAATAGTTTTTAGAAGAGTTCCTTGAGACTTTTAGGCATGTGATCAAGTCATCTGCAATTCCAAATAGGTTTGTCCCTCCTTTTCTAATATTTATATAATTTATTTTATTTCATGTCTCATGCTATCACTAGAAACTTCAAAAGTTGAATCATCATGAGGATAGCAGATGCGTCTCTCTTGTTCCTGATTTTAAAGGTCTTGACCTCAGCAATTTATAGGCATTTGCTGTAGATTTTTGGTAAATAGACTGTTGTTAGATTTAGGTGGTTTCCATATATTCCTTTTTTGCTTAAGAGTTTTTATTGGGAAAGATTGCTGGGTTTTGTCAAATTCCTCTTTGGCAGCTACTGATATATTCAATTAGCTTTTCTACTGTAATGTGTTGATATAATGAATGATGATGATATATTTCCCTTTACATTTATGATGTTGGACAGTTTTACTTTTTCTCTTTTGAACTTAATCAGACCAGCCAGGGATTTACATGTTCCAGTGGTCTTGTCAAAGGACTTGTTAGATTTTATTTACTTTTTTATGATTTGTTCTGTTATTTCATTAACTTTGGCTTTTATCTGTACTAAAACCTTCATGTTTTCTTCTTTGAGTATTTTATTTGTCTCTGAGTATTTGGGGTGATGTGGTTAAGGCAAGGCCATGGCATGAGACTTCACGGTCTCATCTGGGCTCCAGACCTTCATCTGGTAACTTTACCTCTCTGTGTTTGGTTTCCTCATCTGAGAGGTAAGAAAAATAAAGAGAAAGAAAGTATCTGTCTTGGAAGGATACTTGGCAATTAAATGTGGTAATAGTTGTAACATTCTAAAACCAATGCCTGGCACATGATAAGTACCTAATAGATAATAGCTATTATTATTGGAGTTCTTTTTTTAGGTTTATTGAGTTAAATATTTTTTTTCCTCTAATTTTATCTTGTCAGTTGCATATGCAAGTCTTTCGTATGCTGTCATTTCGTGCTAGCTTTCTTTGTCAGAATCTGAAATACACACACACATAATATGTACACATATACATATTTATAAATGTACATATATATGTATATAGACACATATGTATTTCCTACTTCTGATTTTTTTTCTAGTTCTTCACAGTGTTCTACAAGTTTTTGCTTTATAGGCCTATTTAATGGCTTTATGCCCCATTTTGACTTATTTCATGATGTCAAATACCTGCTTTAATCCCATTCAAGCTTCTGTCCTTAAAATTGGAATTGTCTGCTCTTCATATGGCCACACTGCATTCTTTTTCTTTGCATCAGCATTGTACAGGTTTTCCCAGACATTCACCTTCAGTTTTTTCATTATCTTAGGTGTATTTCTTATAAACAGCATTTAGTTTTTCATCCCATCTGAGAGTATGTCTTTGAGCAGTCCACTCAATTCACATTTGTGTGGGACCTGCCATACCGATCTATTACTTCCATCTTTTTGTATTATATTTATTGCTATTTTTTTTAATTTTATTTATTTATTTGACAGAGAGAAAGAAAGAGAGCACACATAGGCAGACCAGCAGGCAGAGGGAGAGGGAGAAGCAGGCTCCCTCCCGGGCAGGGAGCCCAATGTGGGGCTCGATCCCGGGACTCTGACATCACGACCTGAGCTGAAGGCAGATGCTTAACCGACTGAGCCACCCAGGCTCCCCTTGCCATTTCCTTTTAACTGTTCTCTTATTCTTACTGGTTTCCTAGTTTTTAAAGAATACCAATAGTCTTTTTTTTTTTTTAGATTAAATACCTAGTTTATTTAGGGAAGAATATAGAATCATCTTGGAGGCAAGGTGGCCAAAGAGAACAAGGGCAGGTTCAGCATATCTTGTGAAGTTATCCTTCTAGCCTCTACCCCAGCAGCCCTTGGAAGCCACAAGTGACACTGAACAGGCAAAGTTGAGGTGTTTTGTTTGTTTTGTTTTTTGATCTGGGAAACCTTTTTTTTTTTTATGTTATGTTAATCACCATACATTACATCACTAGTTTTTGATGTAGTGTTCCATGATTCATTGTTTGCGTATAACACCCAGTGCTCCACGCAGAACATGCCCTCTTTAATACCCATCACCAGGCTAACCCCCTCCCCTCTAGAACCCTCAGTTTCTTTCTCAGAGTCCATAGTCTCTCATGGTTCATCTCCCCCTCCGATATCCCCCCCTTCATTTTTCCCTTCCTACTATCTTCTTTTTTTTAATATATAATGTATTATTTGTTTCAGAGGTACAGGTCTGTGATTCAACAGTCTTGCACAATTCACAGCGCTCACCGTAGCACATACCCTGCCCAATGTCTATCACCCAGCCACCCCAACCCTCCC